ACACCTCTTTCTTCCACCACCCTCCAACTTTCTATCTTCCCTCCATCATCCCCCTCTACCCTACTTCCCCTCCCCCTCTACCACTCCTCTCTCCACATCCACTCCCCCCTTCCTTCTTGCCTCCCCCGCCCACCCTCTCTCCCATCGCTCTCTACCCATCCTTCTTCTTTCCTACTCCTACTCCCCTTGGTGTATTTCCAGTATATGTTAATGTACTTGGCTTATCCTATTTTTAAAGAAAAATTAAAGAAAAATAGTATACATGTGAAGTCACATTGCATTGAGATCTAACACATCATGTCTAGCCTAATATATATCCCTCCCTCCCCCCTGTTTGTGTATCAAAGGTCTTCTGACCAGACTTTGCACTTCCTTATATGTTCTCTATGCTTTCATGTTCACAGTATGACTATGAATACACTGAAGCAGGCGACAGGGTGGTTTTGGGGAAAGGGACATACGGTGTGGTCTATGCCGGACGAGACCGCAGCAACCAAGTGCGCATTGCCATTAAAGAGATTCCGGAGCGGGATAGCAGGTAAGGGCACAGAATGGAAAAACTTGCCATGGCCAATGTGCCCCGGCCGATTCACCCCAGCTATTTTACCACGTCCAATTCACCATGGGACAGCTTGTCATAAGGCAGCTTCACCACAGGACAATTTAATGTAGGGGGGGAACGTGGTGGGTCATTGGCTAAGACGCTGCAGTTGTCGATCAGAAAGGTCGGCAGTTCGGTGGTTCGAATCCCTTGTGCCACGTAACGGAGTGAGCTCCCGTTACTTGTCCCAGCTTCTGCCAACCTAGCAGTTTGAAAGCATGTTAAAAAATGCAAGTAGAAAATAGGGACCATCTTGGTGGGAAGGTAACAGCGTTCCTTGCGCCTAGTGAGTTTTCCCGCATTGAGTTGTCCAGTGCTGAGTTGGCCGCAGCGAGTTGTCTTAGATCAGGGGTGTCAATCTCAAGGCCCAGGGGGGCCAGATCCGGCTCATGAGGTGCTTAGATCTGGCCCATGAGGCCGCCCTGGAAACAGCAAAGGGCCAGCCCACAGTGGCTCTGCCAATGAAAACTGAGCCGCAGTTTTCACTGGCAGAAGATTGCTGGAGACCGTCGCAGCAGAAAACGGGCCTCAAGAGCCCATTTTTGCTGGCAAAGCACTCAGACCATCACAGGTGCCCCTGACATGAGTGATGTCGAACTGGCCATGCCCCCTCTAGCCACGCCCACCCCATCCCCTCAAGGTCAAACAAAACCCTGATACAGCCCTCAATGCAATCGAGTTTGATACCCTTGTTTTAGACCCAATAGGACCTGTGGGCAGAGAAGATATTTCCAGATCATTCAGTGGGAAGCGCTGGCTTTGACCTCCCCTCCCATCCTTTGGCAGGGTTATTTTGTTCTTGGAAGAGTCTGCCTGGGTCTTTCATTGTTGGTCTTACTTCTCAGATATTCACAGCCTCTGCACGAGGAGATTGCCCTGCACAAGCGCCTGAAGCACAGGAACATTGTCCGCTATCTGGGTTCCGTGAGTCAAAATGGCTTCCTCAAAATCTTCATGGAGGAAGTGCCTGGAGGTGAGTAAGCAGGAGATGCGATTCTGAAACCCTGGTGAAGATGGGAATGGATTCCTTTCAGCAAAATCAGATCTTGAGGAGGAGAATAAGAAAGACGGTATCAAAGAGGTCACAGTGAAATCCAGTGGAGTCCATTTTTTTTTATTATTTGCTTACACAGAATGGACAGAATCTTGCCAGAGTGAAGTTATACAGGGAGTCTTCGACGTTACAAGCACGGTTGAGCCCAAAATTTCCATGAATAAGCAAGACAGTTGTTGAGTGAGTTTTGCCCCATTTTAGCATCTTCTTGAAAGCCTCCAAGTGATGGGGCACCCACAACTTCTGAAGACAAACCATTCCACTGGTTGGTTGATCTCTCCATTAGGACATTTAAGAGATTGAAGATAGCCACTTTCTAGAATCTCTCAGGGTATATCTAGTGGTGGGCTACTGCTAGTTTGGACCGGTCCAGGCGAAATCATGAAGATGGCCTCGGTAGAAATATACATTTCATTTGTCACCTGCTCCTAACCCTAACCCCGCCCACCCGCCCCGGTGCTATGCCGTCCTATTTATCCATGTTTTTGAAGCTGAGTGTATGTGCAGAAGGTGCGTTGGGGCATAAAGCACATGCATGGAAGGGGAGAGCGAAGCGCATGCATGGAAGGCTGCACACATGCGCAGAAGGCGCCTGTCACATTTTTGGCGCTGGGTAAACCAGTTGTTCATTTATGTACCGCCCACCTCTGGGTGTATCCATTAGATTACAGTAGCATGGGTCTGTCTGTGTGGTATGAGCAAATAAAGAACTGAACTTTAACTGGATTGTTCTGTGTCGTTGTTGACAATTGGGTCATTTCCCAATGTCCTTTTATAGGCTACTTCCTTGCTGTTTACTTGCTAACATTGTGGGTTTCTGGGTTTTTCAAGTGGGTCCCACCTTTTTTCCTTACAAATGAAGGTGAGATGGGTTGCAATATAGAAACAGACTACAGGAGAGTTGGATGTAGAAATAGAAACAAGTGACAGGCAGGAGGAGTTTTGCCGATGATTTTCTGTCAGTGCGAGACATAAACTTCATCCGTCGGGATGTATGAACTCATCATTTGATGTTGCTCAGTTTTTAAATTTCCCACCTCGTTTCTGCATATATTTTTCCTTCCCCTTTGCAAAAATCCATGAGCATTTCTCTTCTATTTTGCACTTTGTATTCTTAAACCTTATTCTTAAAATAGGGACGCAGAGGCTCAGTGGCTAAGATGCTGAGCTTGTTGATCAGAAAGGTTGGCAGTTTGTCGGTTCAAATCCCTAGCGCCATGTAAGGGAATGAACTCCCGTTACTTGTCCCAGCTTCTGCCAACCTAGCAGTTCGAAAACACCTTTAAAAAATGCAAGTAGAAAAATAGGAACCACTTTGGTGGGAAGGTAACAATGTTCCGTGCGCCTTCGGCATTTAGTTGTGCTGGCCACATGACCACAGACACGTCTTCGGACACTGCCGTCTCTTCGGGTTTGAAATGGAGATGAGCATTGCTCTCTAGAGGGATAGCACATATGTGCGAGGGGAACCTTTACCTTTAGTCTTAAACTGCTAGTTTTGGTTCTGACAGGCTGTGTTTGTGTCTGTTGTATTTTCCCTTTGTGTTTTCATACGCACCTTTTTGGAGTTGCAAATGGCACTGCAAAATTTGTGAACAAGCTAAAAAAGAAAAAAGCATAAACCGAACCCTGATTCCCATGCCTGTTTGGGAAATGTAGCTTTCATCAAAAAATGTGTACTCAGATGCAAACGGATCATCCTTCCCCATCTTACGGTGGGTCTTAAAATGAGGGCCTTTAGGAAGACACAGCATGCATGGATCAATGATGCTAAGGATCAGGAAGCAAATGCTTCTTGTCACTCTGGGTAAGCATCTTGAGTTCTTTGTTCTGCCTCCCGGAAACCCTTCCAGATCTAATTGCCAAAGCAAGCAGGACGTTTTCCAGCTATTTGGCTATGAGAAAGAAACAGACGAACGTTGAAGTTTACAGCTTGACTTGTATTTAATGTGGGTTATAAAATGAGGAAAAAGTCCCCAAATTCTTAAGAGAGATGCAAAACATGTCAAGCTCAGATTGTTTTACATACTTCTACCAAACTCTTTTCTGCAAAACCCGATAGGAAACTCAGGCCCCACCTTTGTGACATTTTGTTTATTTTTATTTCATTTAATTCGTCAAACATGTAAAAAATAACAGATATAAATATAAACATAAGTATGAACTAAGTAAATGGGTACGAATAAATGGGGACAGTAGGACAGGGACAGTAGGCACGCTGGTGCGCTTATGCATGCCCCCTTTACAGACCTCTTGGAAATGGGGTGAGGTCAACAGTAGACAGGCTTAGGTTAAAATTATGGGGGTTTGGGGACATAACAGAGTCAGGTAGAGCATCCCAGGCGTTGACCACTCTGTTGCTGAAGTTGTATTTTCTGCAATTTGAGTTTGGAGCGGCTTATCTTGAGTTTATATCTATTGTGTGCTCATGTATTGTTGCAGTTGAAGCTGAAGTAGTCATTGGCAGGTAGGATGTTGTAGCAGATCATTATATGTACTACGCTTAGGTCAGACCGTAAGCGGTGTAGTTCTAGATTTTCCAAGCCCAAAATTTCAAGTCTGGTGGCATTGGGTATTCTGTTGTGAGTAGAGGAGTGGAGGACTCTCCTCGTGAAATACCTCTGGAGTCGCTCGATTGTATTAATATTCGATACACAGTGTGAATTCCAGGCAGACAAGCTGTATTCGAGAATTGGTCTAGCAAAGGTTTTGTATGCCCTAGTTTGCAGTACAATATTACCGGAGAAGGAGCTTCACAAGGTTAGGTTGACAATGCCTAATTAGGTTGACAGTGCCTCCCCCCGCACTCCTCACTTCCTATCCCTGTGGCATAGTGAGTACAGATAGTCCTCGACATATGACCAAGATTCAGCCCAGAATTTCTGTTGCTAAGGGGAGCAGCTGTCAAGTGACTTTTGCCCCAGTTTATAACCCTTCTTGTCACGCTTCTGAAGTGAATCGTTGCAGGTAAGTTAGTAACATGGTCGTTAAGCGAATCTGGCTTCCCCATTGTCTTTGCTTGTCAGAAGGTTGCAAAAGGGGATGACATGACCCGAGGACACGGCAACTGTCATAAGTATGAGTCCATTGCCATGTTTCGATCAGACGATCATGGGGGTGCTGCAACGGTTGTGTGACAAACGGTCGTAAGTCACTTCTTTCAGTGCCGTTGTAACTTTTCAATGGTCACTAAATGAACTGTTGTAAGTCGAGGTGCACCTGTATGCTGTTCCAGCCATCAAAAGTCATATTATAGCAATAGTACTTAGCAATAGCACTTAGACTTATATACCGCTTCACAGGGCTTTACAGCCTTCTCTAAGCGGTTTACAGAGTCAGCCTATCGCTCCCAACAATCTGGGTCCTCATTTTACCCATCTTGGAAGGATGGAAGGCTGAGTCAACCTTAAGCTGGTGAGAATCGAATTGCTGGCAGTGAGCAGAGTCAGCCTGCAGTATTGCATTCTAACCACTGCACCACCAGGACCAAGGAAAGGAAGGGAGAAATAGCAAGAGCAGTTAGACTTATATACAGCTTCACAGTGCTTTACAGCCCTCTCTAAGTGGTTTACAGAGTCAGCATAATTGCCCCCAACAATCTGGGTCCTCATTTTACCGACCTTGGAAGGATGGGAGGCTGAGCCAACCTTGAGCCTGGTGAGCCAAACTGCAGGCAGCCGGCAGTCAGCAGAAGCAGCCTGCAGTACTGTACTCTAAACCACTGCGCCACCTCGGCTCTTATGTTATCCGTGTGGTTTGTGAGCAATTGGTTCTCAAAGGTTTATTTCTGGTGCAAAGTAACCTCTCTAATTCCCCATGCTTCTTCCTCCCCTCCCATCTCCCCATATAGGAAGCCTCTCTTCCCTCTTGCGCTCAATGTGGGGTCCGCTGAAGGACAACGAACCAACCATTGTATTCTACACGAAGCAGATTCTAGAGGGTTTGCGTTACCTCCACGATAACCAGATTATCCACCGAGATATCAAGGTGAGGAACCACCCTCACGTTGTGGGATGGCTTGATATTGCTACCTCATGTTTTCTGCTCTGGAGGTCTTGGACTTCCTGATTCTCTAAAGCAACAGTTTCTATGATTGACAGGGAGATAACGTCTTGATCAACACTTATAGTGGAGTATTAAAAATTTCAGACTTCGGCACTTCCAAAAGGCTGGCTGGGATCAGCCCAAGCACTGAGACATTCACAGGTAAGGTCTTAGGGGTCTAAGAATGAACATTTTAAATATGCGGTCCTTGGTGCTCTCTGAGCTCGGTTGGTTGTTTTGCACACATTTCATCGCCAAACTAGGTAACACCATCAGTGCTAAGGAAGTGGGGTTTGCTCTCTCTTTATATTGGGTTGACTCAGCCTTCCATCCTTCCGAGGTGGGTAAAATGAGGACCCAGATTGTTGGGGGCAATATGCTGACTCTCTGTAAACCGCTTAGAGAGGCCTGAAAGGCCTATGAAGCGGTATATAAGTCTACTGCTATTGCTATTATTGCTATATGCTAATGACTTGCCCTGTCAGTGTTTTTGGTGGTTCCTTGAGTAGGCTGTTGCTTACTATTTGATTGTTTGTTAGACTTGGTAATTCCTTGATTAGGGTCTTGTTATAGACTCAAATAGAGCTGGAAGGGACCTTGGAGGTCTTCTGGTCCAGCCCCCTGCTCAAGCAAGGGAACCTATACTATTCCTTGATTAGGGTCTTGTTTTAATTGCTCTTAAATGCAAGTTATTAGCAATTTGTGTACACCATCTTCAACTGCATTGCAGTTTACCCAAGTACATTCAAGTGCATGTACCTCCCCACACATATGGACACATATTTCTATACGCACATGCATGTATGCTCTTCTTCTGATCATGCCCACACACACTTTGCACACCATTTTTATTTCAACTGCCATTCAGCATTCCCCATGAATTGTATTTACTTTGCAAACATATTAATTTTCCTGGATTGCTGACAGGCAAATTCTTGTTTGTCAATCGCCCCATTCAGTTACATCTCTGTCTCTCTCTCCCTCCTCTCTTTCTCTCCCTCTCTATCTCCCTCCCTCCATCTCCTCCCCTCTTTCTCTTCCCCCTCTCTCTTTCTCTCCCTCGCTCCCTCTCCTCCTCTTTTTCTTCCCTCTCTCTTTATCTCCCTCTCACCCTCCCTCTCTGTCCTCCCCTCTGTCTCTGTCTCTCTGTCTGCCTCTGTCTGTCTCTCTGTCTCTGTCTCTCTCTCTTTTTGTCTCTCTCTCTCTCTCTCTCTCTCTCTGTCTCCCCCCCCCCACTTGCCAGTAGAAATCACCATTAGAGGGAGCAATATAATCGGCCTCACAACAATATTAAACATGCCAGCAATCAATAAGCTTAAGATCAGAGAATGTTTGTCTTCGTCCTTGAAGGGACAGATTAGAACCAAACTTTCTGCAGGCACCTCAGCTGTTTTCTCAACTTGCTCGTCTTTCTTGGAGCCAATTTTGCATTGAAAAGATCCTGGCAGCTGTTTTCAGCTCAGCAGGCAGAATGAGGAGCAGCAGCTAGGAAGATCAGGAATAATAGGAGAGAGACGAACGGGGTAAAATAATTAAGTTCAGATCAGCGTGTCAGAAGGGTTTGGGCAATCAATAATTGGGAGCTCGCAAAAAGAGAAATCATCCTTGGGTAGATGGATGAGCTGCCCCAGGCAAGAACTGTTGTGACCAGCAAGCACATTTTCAGGGTTTTGCTCAGTAGAATGAGTGGAAGCTACTCCTAGCTACTGACAGCTAGATAGCTTACCAAAATTGAAAAGAAGGGTAGTCTTACAGAAGCTCATCAAAAAGAGAATCCAGGGTTGTTTACTTGCACAGTTGCTGGTGAGGAGTGTTGGATGAAAGGTCACTAAATGAACTGTTGTAAGCCAAGAACTACCTGTGATTGTTCTAAGTATCTAGAAATTTTTCCTTAGTTCTAGGTTGGATTTCTCCTTGATTGCTTTCTTTCCTGTTGCTTCTTGTCCTGCCTTCTGGTGCTTTGGAGAAGAGCTTGACTTCCTCTTCTTTGGGGCAACCCCTGAGATATTGGAACCCTGCTATCATGTCTCCCCTAGTCCTTCTTTTCATCAGATTAGGCATACCCAATTCCTGCAACCGTTCTTCATATGTTTTAGCCTCCAGCAGTGATGGAATTAATTTTTTTTACTACCGGTTCAGTGGGCGTGTCTTTGTGGGCGTGTCTTTGTGGGCGTGTCTTTGTGGGCG